AAAAAAAGGAATTCCCCCGGGCCCACAAGATGCAAATACTCACCAGACATGCACAGGCTCAAACGACAGGCTCCAGCACCGCTCCCTCAAAAACGGCCAGTGGTCCGACGCGCCCGTCGAGGCGGGCGGGTGGGAGGACTTGGCGGTGCACGGTCACGGCGCCCTCCAGGCGGTCTACATCGGCGGGCCTGACCGCCTCGTGGCGCTCGTGGTGGTGGGGCGCGGCCGGCAGCTCAACCTGACCGTCTTTGCCATCCCTGACGATGGCGTGTGGTCCCGCAGGGCTGTCTGGAAGTCGGCCGGCGGGAACTTTTCGACAAGCTTCATGGAGTTGAGGGGAGCAGACTGATGATGGGGGAAAGAAAAAGAAGCGTCTCACGGCGGACAGGTTAAGTGGGAGATGCCCCGAATGAGTTCGGGGCCGCCGAAGGTAACAGGAGCAAGTATATCAGATGAACCCGTGGGCTGAGTCGCTCACGGGATGTCAGCTATCTAGATCTCATCTGACGTCCGCCACGGCTGGGTTTTCCTTGCTAATACGCAAAATGGGGCCCAGGCCGTGCGCGGAGTCTCCTTGGATTGAAACAAAATGTTGGGCAAATATGGACGTGAATAACGACGCATACCCAGCAAGAAGCTCGTTTCGTTTTGCGTGCTGTGTGTGGGGAGCAAAAAGAAAAGCACCAAATCCAAGGCATAGATACCGCTCAGGGGAACGCCGTGGAGGACGGGGAACCTTTGTCCAACTTCCCGTGGGATAAAACGAAAGAAAAGAAGAAGAAAAAAACGCCGAAAAAAACGCTGTCTGCCTCCATCTCAGCCCAGTATGTGGTTGGACAGGCTTCATGCCGGCTCGACAGTGAACAAATGCTGATTGGCAGAGGTAGGGGTCCCCGCTGTATGTGACAACAGGGTCAAAGAGAAACAAGAGAAGGTCATAAATACGTTCCGACGCTCAAAAGCAAAAAGTGTCGTGTAAACCAGTCCGCCCGTGCGCCGATGCGAGTGTGTGAGTGCGTGTTTTGTCGCTTGTTTCCTAGTGACTGTCCAAAATCATGACTGTCGCCCTTTTTTTGGGCCCTTATATGTAGAGCGAAGAGAAAGAGAAAAAAAAAGGATAAATGAGGCGCTGGTGATAAACAGAAGTTGCCGCAATAACAAGAGCGCCGTCGGACAGAGAGCACTCTTTTTTCCGAGTCTGGGTATCGAAATTCACCAAAGAGGAAGCCATGATTCCACACCAAGGCGCCAGGGTCGACTGGGGGCCTGTGGCAGTAGCTTGTTGAACAACTTTTTTATATAAGCCGTAGTGAGGAGGGATAAGGGGATAAGGAGGGGGTGGCGGAGGGTCAAGCCCAGCGAGAGTTGGCCGTCGCCTCCCACCGTCCGAGGTCGGAGCTCTAGTCTGCCCGGGACAACTTGAAGAGCTTGGTGCGGATCCAGAGGATGACGCTGGTCCAGCAGCCGTGCGTCTTGCGCTTCGCCGACGAGCTGGTCCGGCGGCGCGGCTGCGGGCGGCCGTCGCCCGGCGCGCCGGGGAAGTCGGCTTTCTCGTTGTGCTGCTGCTGCTGATGCTGCTCGCCCGGCGCAGCGTGGCCCGCCGGCATAAACGAGCCGGGGCCGTAGGTGCGGCGCCAGTCGCTCCCGCTACCGCTGCCGGCGCCGGCGCTGCTGTAGTGCGACGTGGACGCGGCGGTGGATGGGCGGGGGAGGTAGTCGGTGCTGCTGGTGGAGCCAAAGGAGCGGGCTGCGGCGGCGGCGGAGTGCCGCTGCTGCAGCCTCTTTTCGGCCTCCTTGCGGCCGCGCTTCCTGGCGAGCTTCTCGGTCTTGAGGCGCTCCTTCTCGTCAAACTTTGCGCGGCGCTCGTGCATCATGCGCGCGTGCTCGGCCGGGTTGACGACCGACTTTGCGCGGTCGGGCTGCTCCGAGAGCGAGCGCAGGCGCGGGGCGAGGCTGCCCGCCACCATCTCGAGCGACGTTCGCAGCGGGGACATGGGCGTGGCGGAGAAGGACGAGGTCGGGGAGGTGAGGCCGAAGGACGAGGCCGAGGCTGGGGCGGCGTTGGTGACCGACGAACTTTGTATGCTGTTTGAGCGGCCGCCGGGGCTGTAGGGCGTGTGCTGGAAGTGGGGCCTGGACGAGAGTGAGTTTGCGCCGTCGGTGGTTATGCATGACGCCGCGGCTGTGTTGATGGTGAGGTTGAGGTGGAGGTCAGACTGTGACTTGCTCGAGCTTAACATGCTACCGCCGTGAACAAGCCTCGACGCTGACGCAGCCCCTGCAGATAGGTTCGAGTTCATGCGCCTGCTGCTACTGCTGCTGCCGCTGCCGCCACCGCCAACAGACGTCGGCTGTGTCGACGCTGCTGCAGAGGCGGCAGGGCTGTTGACGTCGGAGAGGGACGAGGTTCGATGCGACGCTAGCGACGGTCGGCACAGGCTAGACTGCGAGAGCGAGTGTGGAGGGTGGGGGTATGGGCTTGAGCCGGCAGCGGCAGACGTGGACGGCGAGCGAGAGTGGGCGAGGTGTGAAACCGACGGCGGGCGGCGCAGCGAGAGCGAATAGGCGTCGGCCATGTCGTCGTCCTCGTTTTCCGTGATGGTGGGCGAGTAGTCGCGCGCGCCGCTGCCGCCACCTCCCAAGAGCGCGTTCGGCGCGTCAAACGACAGCGGTGGCGTCGCCGTCCGCGGCGTCTGCTGGAACGGGTGCACGAACGAGCTCGAGCGCGCCCCGCTGCCCGCCGTGCCGGCCGAGGCGTGCGACGCGCCCGACGTCGAGCGCGCGTGCTGGAAGCTAGGTCGCGTCATTCCGCCGTCTGCGCCCGCGCCGCCGCATGCGCCCACTGCCGCCACGCCCGGACTGCTACCGCCGCCGCCGCCCGCGCTGCTGCTGCTGCTGCTGCTGAGCTCTGCTAGGCTGCTGGACAGAAAAGTCACGTCGCGCGACGACCGGCCGACGCCTCCCGCGGGCGAGGTCGCGCTGGACCCGGTCTCGGTCCAGTGCTGCTGCTCCTCCCAGACGCGGTCCAGATCGAGCGAGTTCTTTTCCGAGCTGGAAGAAAGCTTCTTCAATATGGGCTTCACCACCATCCTCCTCCCCTTGGTGATTTTGTTGTGGCTGCTGCTCTCCGATGCCGCCTTGCCTCCTCTTTCGGCTCCGATCCACAGGCTCGGGCTCGACGTCATGCCGGAGCTGCCCATCGTCTGGGCTGTAAAGATGGGTTGGTGGACGGCCGACCTATAATTCCCGCTCCCCAAGGAGCCCCTTGCACCACCTTCGCCCCGAGCAAGAAAAGAGCGCGCCGAGGTCTCGTTGTCGTTCGCAGACGCTGTTCAAGAAGGAAATAGTTGTGGTGATGAGAAGGGTGGATGGGCGACGACTCGGGCAGGCCAAGGCCAGGCGCAGCCCCTTCTCCAGCAGCGGCGGATTCGGAGGGATCGAGGTGGTCCGTCAAGATGACAGGATGGGTGGGTGTGTAGGCTGTTGATGTTATGGCTAGTGTGGATGCACCCGCCCACTCCGGCTGGCTGGCTGGCGGTGAGGCGTGTGCTCAGCACAGCTTTAGCGTCCAAAGCATTGGGTGTGGGAGGGTGGCAGAGACTGTGTTCTGGGCTTGGATCGTCGGGGCTGTGGTCTATGTCTATTGTAGGCAGACTGGCGTCGGAGAGATCAAAGGCACGGGGCGGAGGTGGCAGTGAGGGTGCCGTCAGCCCGTGGCTCGGGGGGAAGGATAGGTTATGTAACTGTCGAGCGCAGGCCCGGCTCTGGGACGCGGCCTGTTGGTCGTCAACAAGGATGTTTGATGCATGGGAAACCCCTCAGCTCTTGTCGCGGCCCATGTCCATGTCCGCCGCGGCCATCCCAGTCCGTCAATATCCGGATCCGCCCTCGTTTCAATTGACGGGCTGATTACTAGGCCGCCAGCTTGCTCGCCTGTGACCTCGCCCGGAGCTTGGTCGGATGATGGCCGATGCTTTTCGGTTCCTTCTTTCGCTTCTCCAAATAAAGAACAAGGCGTGTGCAGCAAAAAAAAAAAGACCAGACCAGAGAGCTCGAGCGTCCGACGGCCGCAAACAAACTCCTTGGTGTTGCTGCTGTTTTGCGCTTTTTTTTCCCTCCTCCTCTCGGTATTCCTTTTTGTCCTGGCCCCTTTTTCTCTCCTGAGTCTTTGTCAGTGAATCCTCTTCACCGTATTTTCCCTCACTCAGTTTCTTTCTTCTCCGCGTTTAAAAAAAGCCCACGAGCAGCATGGCCTAGGCGTGCGTGCGGACGAGCAAGGGTGAGGGCGAGAGAGGGGGGTCGCGAGCCTTGCTGGCCGGGGTTGCAAGGACGCCGCGGCTGGGCAACGCGGGTGACCTTCGATGGGCCAGCCAAGCGAAGCTCAGCATGTGCTACTGACGAGGTTTCGGCGGTGCGCTCTTTCGCTGATGGCTTGGCCAATTTGCCCGCAGCCGGAGCCAAGCACACGCCGCACAGCACAGTGACACAGCACACGCTCTCTGCTGCTTCTTCTCTTGGATTATTTGAGACGATGTGCGCGCACCATGAGACACACACTCACGACGCTTTAGCCAAGGCACACAGACCCAACAGCAGCAGCAACAACAACAACAACAACAACGGCTCCTCTCCGTGCTCCATCGCCAGCTGGTTGGGCACGAATCTCAGCCCTCCCGCTCACCGCGGAGAGAAAAGTCGACAGCGAGCGATATGGGGCACATCGGCCCGCTGTCGCATCCATCATGACTTGCCTGCTTAGCTGGCGGCCGCTATCGCATCATTGATCAAATCGGATCGATTCAGCCTCAGCTGCAGCGCTCACCGTCGCCTCCTCCCCGCCCCGCTCCCTGCGCTCTGCTGGCTCTCCCTACGGCCTGCATAACCAGCACCTACCTAGGCACCTACCAGTCTGCTCGCCCCTCGTCCGCCACCTGCCCGGGTCGTGCATGCGCACTTGCACTCGCACTTGTCACTGCTTGTGTTGTGTCTCGCCCTGCGCGATGGGCCCCAGGGAGGGGCACAGGGGGTCCTGGCCTGGCGGGGAAACAGGTCGATCCATCAAATCCCACACCGCGCTCGGCAACGCGTCCCAAGAAAGGACGCTGGGGCCGGTTCACCCCAATCGCTCCCGCCTGATTGGCGGGAATCCCGGCCGATAGCCCTCCCCAAGGATTTCAATTATCGACCGAGCCCCGCTACCAAGGCCCCCACATTCAGTAAGTTTGCAGCTCCAAATGCTGGTAGCGGACCCGAGAGAAGGATGGAAGCGCAGGAGAAGACGCCAAAGCGAGATACAGACCACAGCACCATCACCAAGGGAAATGGCAGAATCCCATCTACCTTGGCCGCGATTGATTACTTGGAATTACCCAGCAAAGTGGCTCTCAAGAAGAACGGGCTCAAAGAAGAAGAAAAAGAAAAAACTGGTCATGGCTTTGATTGTGATCATTCCGCCGCTCCACGCGCGATTTTCATCCCCATTTCTCTCCTCCCGCTTGCCCAGGCGGACCAGGGTCCAGAAATGTCAAGGGACAAGCTTCCTCCCCAATTCATTCCCCATCCACACCCTCACCCTCACCCTCCATGCATCATTCTTCTTCCGGTCTTCTACGCGCTGCCAACGCGGCGTTCGGCGGCGGTGGCGGTCATCAGGGTGTGGGCTCTTCTTTGATCCATTCTCCGTTCCCCCGTCTGTCACCGCCACCTCGGGCCAGCAGCGACAGACCGGAACAGCGGGATGTGGATGTTTTACGTAGGTACGGTGTAAGGTACAGTAGCATCGTGGCCGGAGAAGCAGGCACAGCACATGGGGGCGCAAGCAGAAGGAGAGAGAAAAGAGGAGACAGACCGACCGACCTTCTGCACGGCCAGCGCCATGCTGCGACGTTCAGGGCGTGGCGTACCAAAGCCACGGAGGGCTAGACGTAAACCCGCGCAATAGGAAAGAGCGGGGGGGGGGGGCCAAACGATAAGAAACAAAAAGAAATCTCCAAAGAGAGCGTTCACCCCGGCATCCTGCAGCGCAGCGCCAGGCAAAGTGAAAAGCGAGGCGAGGGGGCGGCGACAAGTAAGCCACAGCACATGCCGACCTCGTCTGCTAAATCGAGAGCCGAACAGGGCTGTGTCCGCAGCGAACAACCTTGCCGACATTTTTTTTCCCCTCATTACGGAGGTGTCAGGCAAAAGTTTTCGCCGTGGGGCATGTAGCGACTAGAGGCAGGGCGTGTTCAGCTGCTACCAAATAAGGCCTAGCTTACGTATTTTTCAAAATCAATCACAGGTCTAGTGCTGTAAAAATATGTTTATTTATGAATCTTTATGCGTTGCTATTGGTCGTGGCATCTCCCGGCCCCTGCTTCGCCGTCGGGAGCGACCTCGCCCCACGGCGAAAACTTTTGCCTGACACCTCCGTAGAAGAAGTAAGCCCCCAGGATGAACCCGAGCGGCTCGCCCCAGAGATGGAGGAAGGGCTTTTATTTTTTTTATTTTTTGTTTT